GGAATTTTAAAAATTTATATAGCCTATGTTACTTTCAGGCGATGTTGTAGTATATTTGGAAAATTTAAAGAAAATCTCTGCAGCGGTGTTCGAGTCCATAAATTACAAACGAAAAAGCATACAAACATTTTCCTCTTTTATATATATAGTTTCCACCATACTGTGAGGTCCTGTATTTATATTTTTGAAATTAAAGAAGTAAAAAAAGCAAATCGTTCGGTCGAACTTTTAACACTTTTTATATTCAATACTTTATAATTTTATACTTTTTCGGGTATCCGACGAATATTTAGGGGTGTTGCAAACGAAATGACCAATTTATTATGACTCCACCGAGTTCGGAGATTAACCCCATTATGGTATGGTAGCTATTTTTACTCTGATAACGGCAATGTGGATGATATTTCCGGTTGTCCGGTTGTACGACCCGAAATTTCTGATACAAAATTCGGATTTTATCCAACTGATACGTATAATAGTGGTCATGTGAAGGCGTTATTTGAACAAAGTTCCGGAGCAATATAAGAAAATTGGTATTTTTGCATTGGAACTTTTTGAAAAACCCCTAAAAAGTCGAAAACGGACCCATATTGGGCTGAATTATAGCCACTACTCTTGCCCTTCCATTGTTCCGAAGAAAAATCATGAAATTAAAATTTTTTTCAATAAGTAGCCGGCATACGGCAAGTGCTTCATATTTTTTCATCTTAATATGTCCAATACAGGCTACGTGACCCATAATTTTTAAAACGCAGTAATTTCGTGGCGAACTTTAAATATCCACCACTATTTGGAAAGAATTTTCAAAAAAAAAAAAACCAGTAAAGAAAGTCTTAAAGTCGGGCGGGGCCGACTTTATGATACCCTACACCACTTTGCTGATTTAGTAGAGCTCCGCATAACAATTAAAAGTTTTTATAGGAGAATTCAATCATACACGCTATGATTATAATTATAATTTAAATGTTCAAAGGACTAAATATGCCGATGCATTTGTATCTTTTAAATTCGGACTTGTTTTGCCCAATTGGTGCACAATTAATTTGAAATCGGATAAAAATATATATGGGAGCTATATCCAAATCAAAACCGATCTCGATAAATTTTGGCAAAGATATTTCTGAGCTGTATTTTATATTTTTCCCTGAATATCGTTGTTACGGAGTGCATATTACGGCTGTGGGTAACAAATATGACAAATCGGATGAACAGTATATATGGGAGCTATAGCTATATCTGAACCGATCTTTACCAAATTTGACATACTAGCTTCTAGACTCAGTTCGGTCGTAAGTGCCAAATTTCATCCAATTTGGGCAAATATTAGACGTTTGGTGCACAATCAAATGTAAATCGGACGAAGTTATATATGGGAGCTATATCCAAATCTGAACCGATCTCGATAATATTTGGCAAATGTATTTCTGAGCTGTATTTGATATATTTCCCCAAATATTGTTGTTACAAAGTGCATATTACGGCTGCGAACGACAAAAATAGCAAATCGGATGAAAAATATATATGGGAGCTATAGCTATATCTGAACCGATGTCGATCATATTTGGCATACTTATTTTCGTGCTTAATTTGGTTGTATGTGCAAAATTCCATACTATTCGGACCGATATTACACGTTTGGTGCACAATAAAAGGCAAATCGGACGAAGATATATATGGGAGCTATATCCAAATTTTGACCGATTATCTCCAATTTCAATAGGGTTCGTCCTTGGGCCAAACAAATGATTTGTGCCAAATTTCATCTGGATAGGGCAATAAATGCGATCTGTACTTTGTTTACAAAAATACATGGACAGACGGACGGACGGACAGACGGACGGACGGACGGACAGACGGACGGACGGACAGACGGACGGACGGACATGCATAAATCGACTCAGAATGTGATTCTATGCAGATCATCAAAAGGAACTATGGGTCTATCTTATTTCCTTTTGCCTGTTACAAACAAATGCACAAAGACATAATACCCTGACCACCTTGTGGTGTAGGGTATAATAAATAAATAAATAAAAAGTTGAAAAACACTGCTAAATTCATCAAAATACCGAATATAAAGAGCTGCCATTATATGGAAACTATACGAAGACGTAGGCCTGTATGAGCAATATTCTGCCATAAGTTTGAGCCATATTTGTTGAAAGATGTAACTAAAATCCATAAAATACAGAATATTTGGAGGTACCGTTATATGGCGAATATACGAAGACTTGAAAAATGTTGTCACAAGAGGTAGCACCCATTACGAACTTCAAATTTCTGGTGAAAAGTGTGACAAAAATAATCAAAATACAGAATATTTGGAGGTACAGTTATATGGGGCTATACAAACACTTGGATCTATACAGGTCATTCTCAAAACTAAACAATTCTAAAGACCTAAGATACATCTGAGTAAAATGTTATCGGCAGCTGGAGTAATTACCACAGACGGACATGGCGAAATCGACATAAAAACTTATATTTATCAAGAATACGTATATTTTGTGGGATCTAACATGGATATTTCGAGGTGTTGCAAACGGAATGAAAACTAAATATATGGTGCAGGGTATATAAATTAGAGATAATGCCGTATCAACACATTGGTAACCAATGTCATGACAAAGAATATGTAATGAATTTCATGGCAGAGAAATGATGACGAATGTTATGTTATTAAATTTGTGACAAATACAAGACAAGGAGTCAGTGATATGAAGTGACACGCTAGTTTAAGATATCCCTGAACCTAAGGTTCAATTCAAGATTTGACATCGGAAAAATAGTCTAATACTTAAACTCTAAGCTCTATTCATTCGTGTTAATATCTTATGTAAAAAATCCTTTTATGTAAATGTGTATTTGATTCTGTCGCACTAAGGTTCACAAATATTCAGTTCGAGTCCATCCAGTTTTTAAAAAAGTAAATGAATCGATGTTGCTTTTTGTTTGTTTTTACATAGTTATACCCTATAACACTTTGTGTTGGGGGTATTATAAGTTTGATTGGGCCAAAAATTATGTAACACCACGAAATATTGATTTCCCACATAGGAAAGTATATATGGATCTTCCTATCTCGCCGAGCTGATGTCCCTCCGTCCGTCTGTCCATTTTAATTTGTAATATGGCCCGATCTTCACGAAATTTAGAATGTAGGTTGGGTTAAGGTCAGAATAGAACCCTATTTCTTTTGGAGATGATTGCATAATATATAGGGGTTGAAATGGACCAAAAACTGAAAAATTTCCTGATTTTGCAGTTGCTCTACAATTATATACCAATCGAAGCGAAAGTAAGTATGGGGCTAGAGCTTTGGGCTGGGCAGAAGCCTTCCAATTTTGATGGTCATCGGGTAATATTTAATGGTTGAAATAGGCCATAGCATTTGTGTTAAATAAAAGTCAAATTTTCTATTAAACCGCGAATATTTTTAATGCGGCGAAATCACAAATAGACGAACAGGCCAATTCTGACCGTTATGTCGATGCCGATAGTAAAAATATCGGATATATATATATAGAGAAATATTTACAATGTATATATACAAAGGAAGGGGATGTTAGCTAGAATGCTTATTTCTCCAGAATGGCTGGAGCGATTTTGACAAATTTTGTAAATTTAGAATGCCCTTTTGGCATAAAAGTATAAAATCTAAAAAAATCGCATAAAAAATCGCCAATAATGAGGTTAATATTTATTTTGTAGTATTTTGTGACATATTTTTATTTTTTTATATTTTTTATCGCATGCGACTTTTGCAATTTGATTTGTAATATTGAAGTGTATATTTTGTAATATTTTTGCACTTTACAACACAGGTTGGGGTTATTATTTATATACAGATTGCAATTATCTTTCGATCCTCACGAAAACTTTGACAAAGGTAGGGTTAGCCTCAGAAGGGCTAAGTCTATTGTTTTCAAAGATGTCCGCAATATATTTAGGGGTTAAAATGGACCAGAAACTCAAAATGATCCTGATTTTGCATCCGTTATAGAGGTCACAAATAGAAACGGGTAGAATGGACCATTACTTTTGTGTCAAAAATACCAACATTACTTACAGGCGATATCCGAAATACGCAGTAGGCGAACTTCTGGTTTTTTATGCTGATTTCGTTGACGAATATAGCCAAATATCGTAGACAAGCAAATCATATAGATGAGTCTAAATTTGGAGACACAGAGTGGCCTCTTGCTTTTGGAGATGAACGCAAAATATTAGGTGGTTGAATTGAACCAAAAACTGAAAATAATTCCTGATCACACAATTGAAACCAATCGACACGCCTGAGAAGATATTAAGCACAGCTCGACGGAGTGCATAAATATTGGGAAAATGTCCCTGGTCAAAATGCTAAGGGTAATATCAGAAAGTGCTCCGTGACATAATTTCAAAAGCGAAATCTTCCAAAATGGATTTGGACATGAGGGGGCTTTTCACATACTGTAGTGTTGTAGGGTATCACATGGTCGGCTCCGCACGACTATAGCCTTTGTTTACTTGTTTTTAAAATAAAGATATAATAGTTGTTTTTAAATAAATGTTATCTTGTTCTAATAAATTTTTATTTACATATACTCATCAAGCTTTTGTGGTGTTCTGCCTGGTACATGCCATTCACGCAGTAAGCTAACAATTAGTCTATATTTTTGGCATAAATAATAATGTATGCCTGTGTTATGCGAGAAACATTTACGCACACACATACTTATTGACAGCCGATATTTTTTCTTGTGCCTCCAAAAACAACTACCATTCATAGAAAATTATAACAAATGAATTTTTGTTTCATTTTTTGTTGCGCTCTTTTTTTTTTTTTTGGAATGATGGGATGGATACATGGATGTTAATGATGGTATGGCTGGTTGTATTGAATGAATGCTTGGATGGGTTATAATCCACAAAACCCCCATTGAAATCATTAGCTTGCGAGAGGTATAAAAACAAATGCATTCCCCGATTCATTTATTATTCAAATCACGTAGCTTCAAGTGTTAGGACAAAACGAACCTTTAACAAAGTTTTGTCGGAATATACAAAATACCTCATCCAAAAAAAAAAAAAATCATTGGATAATCGATTTTAGTGCAAAACTTTTAATAACCTACAAACGCAAAACAACAACAACATTACAATGGCCTTCAAGGTAAGTGGTATTGTGTACAAAAACAAAAATAAAAATAGTTTAGATTGACTGACCCGCCTGTCTGCCTGAGTGATGTCTGTCAGATGGTATTGCTGTTTTTGGGAATTGTTTTACCTCGTTTGTGTTGTGCGTATTTATTGTCGTTGCTTTTAGTCAACAACAAACACGAAAAAAAAATGAAAATCATTATTGAGACTTAAAATACCGAAATTAAAGAAAATAATGGCTTTATTTTTGCACATGGCAACGTTGCCGTCCGACAATACTTCATTTGTCCACGCCATGGCCTAAACAATGAAGTTTGGATGTCAGTGTGTGTGTGCGTTTAACGTTTTGTTTCATTTGATATTGGCCTAATTTCAATGGCAAAATGGGTAAAAGTGCAATTCATCGATTGGTTCAATTAATTGAACAACCCTGCGTTGAAAGTGAATTGATTGCATGCCAGTGTAGTTTGGTATGTGGTATGAGTAAGGTGGCGTTCAAATAATGAGAGTTTCGTCAATTTTGAAGGTTTTTTTTTCAAGAGTGGAACTTAATTCGCAGGCTCATACAAAGAATTTGTAAAAATATTGAGAGGACAGACTCGTAGGCTTCAATGGAAACAATTGGTGTATCAGGATGTGATTACATCAGCATTGTTTTCGGAAGGTTAAAAAAGTTTTATCAACTAAAGCAGTATTAAAAGCCATATTAAATAGTTTTTGTGGAGAAAGGGTATTATATTTTATTCCTAATACTAAGCTTGTCCTTCCGTGCGTAGCGCATAGTTCCTTTATCCTTTATAGCACACTAGCTGAAACCGTCGCGCTTGGCTACACCTTTTGCTTTTATATGCACTCAAAATTTTATATTTATATATTTGTTTGTTAAAATAAAAAAAAAAAAAACAAGTAAGCAAAGGCTACAGTCGAGCGGGGACGACCGTTGAATACCCTACAACACTATAATAAACCATACAGTTTATATAGGCGAGATACTCGAAAGAATTCCACAAGATATTGTGACAAATAATAAAAGAAAAAAATCATGTTTCGTTCTCTAATTTTCGAATAATAGCAACTTAAACTAATTTGCTCATTTCCAATTTATTGGTAATTAAATGGTCTTCCTAGATCTGGAACCAATATTTCGCAAAGACCTATAATCTCTCAGAAGTGGCAAAAGATTAACATTTATTATTGGTTTTGGACTGAAACGCATCTATATGAGATACAGACATTTGACTATATTCTTCAACGAAATCAGCGTTATCGAAATAGTCAAAAGTGCGTCTTTCCTGTATTTGTGAATTCTCCAAAAATCACTGGAATGGACATTTTCGTATTTTGTCTACAAAAGTTGGCAAACTATTTCACACATTGAATATTTTTGGATGGCCATTCGAAACTGCTTGGCTTTTGCAATGTGCGGTAACCCCCATTCAAATGTGCGTGAGGATCGGGCGATAATTACGACCTGCCGACAATTTTGCAGTTTTTTTGGTTTTTGGTTTCAACCCCTAAATATATGGCGATCATCTCCAAAAAGAGTAGGCTTCTATTCTGACCCTCATCTTATCCCCATGCAAAATTTCATAAGGATGGGTCCATAAATGCGATCTGTATATGATGTCCTAATATCCTAACTACTTAGTTTTGTTAGCTATTGAAATATTACCAAATGTTTAATTCAAAATGAAAATATGACAAAATTGAAAAAATATGAGACAATTTTAAAAAATCAATCTTTTCATCTTTGTATGCGTTTTTAAGACGTTTTTCCTTTCCTGCCAAGAGGCCATTCTGAATTAATGAGAACTGTCGAAATCAGTTCAGCCGTTCTCGACATAGAAGAGATCTTTCAAGCATATCTTCTCTGATAGACATATATATCGCACATATTCATCCGATTTGTTGGATGTTAACATCAATGTAAAGGTCAGAAGAAACCTTGTCATGGCTTTGTGATTTCGCCGGGATTTAAAATATTCGCGGTTTAATGAAAAATGTTGAATTTTTTCAAAACAAAAGATATGGTCTATTTTACCCGCTAAATATTATCCGATGATCACCATAATTGGTATGCTTCTTCCCCGCCCTAAACTCTAGCTACATCCGAAATTCCGCGTCGATTGGTCTATAATTGCGACCTGCAAATTCCGACATTTTTTCAGTATTTGGTCCATTTCAACCCCTAAACATTTGGCGATCATCTCCAAAAGAAATAGGCTTCTATTCTGACCCTAACCCCACCTTCGTGCAAAATTTCGTAAGGATCGGGCTATAATTGCGACCTGTAGCGTGATTACAAATTAACATGGACAGACGGACAGACGGCGAGCTAGGAAGATCCATATATACGTTCCTATATGGGAAATCAATATTTCGAGGTGTTACATAAATTCTGGCCCAATCAAACTTATAATACCCCCAACACATAGTGTTGTAGGGTATAAATAATAAAGCAAATTCAAAAATTTAAACAAGTAAGCAAAGGTTGTAGTCCTGCGGGGTCGACTATTGATACCCTACAACACTGCAATATGTTCGAAGTCCCCTTATATCCAAATCCATTTTGGAAGATTTCGTTTATGAAATAACTCTCTTCCGATGCGAAATTCCGTGTCGATTAGTTTCAATTGTGGCCTATAGAGCGACTACAAAATTAGAAAAAAAAATAATTTTTTTAGTACATTTGCACCTCTAAATGTACATCTAAGAACAATAGGCTTTAATTCTGACCCTAACCCTACCTCCATGCCAAATTTCGTGAGGATCGGACGATAATTGCGACATGCATAAAATACCCTCAAAACGTAGTGTTGAAGGGTGTAAACATTTAGAAAATTTACAATTCAAAATTGTAAGTCAAATTGAAAAAATCGGATGCGATAAAAAATATGACAAGAATTGAAAAAATGGAACAAAAAATATTCACTTTTTTATTGGTATATTTTTCCGCGATTTTCTTAGATTTTCTGCTTTTCTGGCAAAAGACCATTCCGAATTTATGGGAACTGTGAAAATCGGCCCAGCGGTTTTTGATTTATAAGCAGAATAAATAAGATCAATTCTTTTACATATATATTGTACCTATTTTGCTATATACCCGATTTCTTGGCTATTAGCATCACTGTAATGGTCAAAAGTGATCTTTTAATGTATTAGTGATTTGGCTGGGGTTGAAAATATTCGCGGTTTAGTGGAAATTCTCCTATTTTCTTACATAAAAGTTAGGATCTATTTTACCCGCCCAAATTGGTAGGTTTCTGCCCACTCCTAAACTCTAACTCCATGTAAATTTTCGCGGCGATTGGTTGATAATTGTGACCTATAGAGCAACTGCAGAATCAGGATTTTTTTCTGTTTTTGGTCCATTTCAACCCCTAAATATCGTGCGATCATCTCCAAAAACAATAGGGTTCTAATCTGACATTAACCCCACCTCCATTTTCAATTTCGTGAGGATCGGTTCATAATTGCGATCTGTAGCTTGATTACAAATTAATATGGACAGACGGACGGACGGACATACATAGCTAGATCGACTCAGTTCGGCGAGATAGGCAGACCCATATATACTTTCCTATGTGGGAAACCAATATTTCGAGGTGTTACATAATTTTTGCCCCAATCAAACTTATAATACCCCCAACACAAAGTGTTGTAGGGTATAAAAACGTAAATATTGTATAATTTAATGCGTAAACAAACAAATAGCTCGGTCTACCAACGCGTGAACATGCCAGCAACTGCTGACTATGAGAACAGCAGGAACATGCCAAATTTAGTCCACATACACGAAGGGTTTGTCCTCCGTATTATAAATTTCAATGCAAATGCCAAGCGTGCAGGAAACTGCAATCTTTTGAAGTTGAGTGACATTTCTGTTGCAATTAGAGAATTCGAGGTAGCAACATTCTTCCCTGTAATAACTGAGGATACATTAAATTGTTGTATAGTTTTTTACCTTGTTAGCCTAATACCATTACAAAGGCATTGTGGGTCAAAGAATCGTAATAAAATCATATTCCAATCTGAAGTGATTTCAATATAATTTGACAAAATTTGCTTTTTCATTGAAATTGGAGGTACACACGGTGTTTGGTGCATCAAATATGTGAAATCGGCCGAGAATATATGTGGGAGCTATATCCAAATCTGCACCGATTTCAATATAAATTGCCAAATTTGACAAACTTATTTGTGTACAAAATTTAGTCACTTATGCCAAATTTCATTGGAATCAGACGTTCGTATCGTGTTTGGTGTATCAAATACAAGAAATACATCGAAAATATCTATGGGAGCTATCTATCAATTTAATTTGACCAACTTATTTTCTTATCGAATCCCGTCACATATTTCAAATTTTATTGGAATCGAGCATACATATCGTGTTTGGTGCATCAAATCGGTCGAACATATATATGGGATCTATATCCAAATCTGAACTGATTTCAATATTATTTGGCAAATATATTTTCTGATCAAATCCCATCACTTGTTCCAAATTTGGAGACTGTATCTGTAATCGATCAATAGATATGTGCGTATAAAATCTAAATACATTTGTATTTGCTAGTATATGCATTTTCTGAACCTGCAGCTGCAAAAGAAACAAAACATATCTAGGGTCCCCTTAGCCCAATTTTGGCCTATTCTTTTCAATATTTCCGCCGACGTCTCACACGTAATTGCTTCAATATAATAATATAACTTAATGTCTGTCTTACAAACATACTACCTTGCATTTTTCATAGAAAGAGAAAATGCCAAATTTTTTTTTTAACTTGAAGAAAATCGCAGCATAATTAGAATTAAAATATTTTCAATATGATTCTCCATATAATTCTAGATCGACTTTTTTACGTAAAACTGAGCCGGCCCGAACTTTTATATATTTTTAAATCTCAGAATTAAAATTGGTCATTCTCAATTTGGTTCGGGCTTGGCATTTTCCCAAAATTAAAGCAATTAATAACATTTTGCATTCAGTTAAAAATTTTAACTTATTTTAATTATATCATTATTATTTTTCATCCTTTGCAGTTTGTTGCATTTGTCACCCTCTTGGCTGCTGTCAATGCTGGAATCATTCCCGTGCAACAGGCCGCGCAGTTTGACCATCCTGGCTATCATCAACAAGTTCCCGCCCAACAATTGGTCATTTCCGGACACTCTGGACACACCGCAAAACACGAAGAATATGCTGATGATCCTCATCCTAAATACAATTTCGCCTACCAGGTCGAAGATGCCGTATCGGGTGACTCCAAGAGTCAAACGGAGACACGTGACGGTGATGTTGTACGCGGTGAATATTCTGTAATTGATGCTGATGGTTTCAAGCGTACCGTTAAATATACTGCCGATGATGTTAATGGTTTTAATGCTGTCGTTTCTCGCGAACCCATCAGTGGTCATCATGTTGCCCAACATGCCTCACCATCCTATGAAGTTCATTCGTCACCAGCTCAATATCATCATGCTCCTGCTGCCGTTGTTAAGGCTGCACCTGTAGCTTATGTTGCCCCAGCATTGCGTAAAACTCAGGTGACCTATACCCAACCTCAGAATTATGAGACACCTATTAACCATCATGCTCATCCCGAACAATTGCAACAACACCAACATCAATATGCCACCTATGAAAGTGAACAAGAAAATCATGATGGCTATTAATTGTTAGATCTTTGAATTTCATGTTCCGCAAATTGTTTCACGGATATTTGCATTTATTTTCATAACTGTTATTTTCATTGTCCAGATGTTATTTGAATTTATCCATTATTCTCAATATTCATAATTCCATTTGTTATTTTAAGGCCTGTGCCACCAATTTAAATGAGTTTATTAATTTTTAAGATTAAATAAATATGAGCTAAATTAAATTGACATAAGTGTTATTTGATGTATATTTAAAGTTATTCCACAAACCAATATTGTATGTCGGTCCATCCGTCAGTCACTCCATCTGTCCGTCTGTTCATTTATTTTTGTAAACAAAGTACAGGTTGCATCATACATTTCACAAAAATCATTTGTTTGACCCAAGGACAACCCCTATTGAAATTGTAGATAATCGGTTAAAATTTGGATGTAGCTCCCATATATATCTTCGTATGATTTAACTTGTGCACAACATATGTAATATTAGGAATTTGGCATGTACGACTAAATTTATCGTAGAAATAAGTGTGTCAAATTTGGTAGAAATCGGTTTAGATGTAACTATAGCTCTCATAAATATTTATACCCTACAACACTATGTGTTGGGGGTATTATAAGTTTGATTGGGCCAAAAATTATGTAACACCACGAAATATTGATTTCCCACATAGGAAAGTATATATGGATCTTCCTATCTCGCCGAGCTGAGTCGATCTAGCTATGTATGTCCGTCCGTCCGTCTCTCCGTCTGTCCATGTTAATTTGTAATCACTCTACAGGTCGCAATTATGGCCCGATCTTCACGAAATTTAGAATGGAGGTGGGACTAGGGTCAGAATAGAACCCTATTTCTTTTGGAGATGATCGCCAAATGTTTAGGGGTTGAAATGGACCAAATACTGAAAATATGTCAGATTTTGCAGCAGCTATACAGGTCACAATTATAGACCAATCGACGTGGAATTTCGCATGTAGCTAGAGTTTAGGGCGGGGAAGAAGCCTACCAATTTGGGTGGTCATAGGATAATATTTAGCGGGTAAAATAGACCATATCTTTTGTGTTGAAAAAAATTCAAAATTTTTCATAAAACCGCGAATATTTTAAATCCCGGCGAAATCACAAAGCCATGACAAGGTTACTTCTGATCTTTACATTGATGTTAACATCCATCAAATCGGATATATAGCAAAATATGTGCGATATATATGTCTATCAAAGAAGATATGCTTGAAAAATCTCTTATATGTCGAGAACGGCTGAACTGATTTCGACAGTTCTCATTAATTCTGAATGGCCTCTTGGCAGGAAAGAAAAAACGTCTTAAAAATCGCATAAAAATATCTCTCTAAAGATGAAAATATTGATTTTGTAATATTTTCTCATATTTTTTCAATTTTGTCATATTTTCAATTAAACATTTGGTAATATTTCTACAGCTAACAAAACTAAGTAGTTAGGATATCAGAATATCATATACAGATCGAATTTATGGCCCGATCCTTATGAAATTTTGCATGGGGATAAGATGAGGGTCATAATAGAAGCCTACTCTCTTTGGAGATAATCGCCATATATTTAGGGGTTGAAATGGACAAAAAAAAAAAACTGCAAAATTGTCAGCAAGTCGTTTGAATGGAGGTTACCTCACGCGCATTTGAATGGAGGTTACCGGACATTGCAAAAGCCTAATAGTTTTGGATGGCCTTCCAAAAATATTCAATGTGTGAAATAGTTTGCCAACTTTTGTAGACAAAATACGAAAATGCTCATTCCAGTGAATTTTTGGAGAATTCACAAATACAGGAAAGACGCACTTCTCACTACTTCGTTAAGGCTGATTTCGTTGAAGAACATAGTCAAATGTCTGTATCTCATATAGATGCGTTTTAGTCAAAAACCAATAATAAATGTTAATCTTCCACTTCTGAGAGATTATAGGTCTTTGGGAAATATTGGTTCCAGATCTAGGAAGACCATTTACGTGCAACATCTACCTATAAATTGGAAATTAGCAAATTAGTTCAAGTTTCTATTATTCGAAAATTAGAGAACGAAACTTGATGGTTTTCTTTTATTATTTGTCACAATATCTTGTGGAATTCTTTCGAGTATCTGGCCTATATAAACTGTATCATTTATTATAGTGTTGTAGGGTATTCAACGGTCGGCCCCGCTCGACTGTAGCCTTTGCTTACTTGTTTTAATTCGATTTATTATATTTGTCCTCCACATCCGTAATAATGATATTCGGGGGAATATATCAACTACAGCTCAGAAATGCCTTTGCCATATTTGATCGAGATCGGTTCGGATTTGGATATAGCTTCCATATGTTTTTTCCCCGATTTCAAGTTTATTGAGGACCAAATGGTTAATATAAGACCGAATTGAATGGATTTTGGCATATATAAACGAGTTCAGCCTGAAAGAAAGTGTATAAGATTTGGTGAAAATCGGTTAAGATATAGCTATAAGTCCAATATATATAATTCATCCGATTTTGTATTTAAGTCCCTTCTAACCCATAAAATGCTCTCCATAACAACGATACTTGAACCCAGCTATCAGATTGATCATAGAAGTACTTTCCCTAAATTTGATAGAGATCGGTTCAGATTTGGATATAGTTCCCATATATATCTATATTAGTTTTCATCAAGTCTCCATAAAAAGGTTTATTTGTTAGGGGTAGTTCTACTAAATATACAAAGTGGTGTAGGGTATCGTAAAGTCTGCCCCGCCCGACTTTAAGTCTTTCTTTACTGGTTCAAGGATGAAACTTTTCAAAGAGCCTATCTTGAAAAACAAGTAAGCAAAGGCTATAGTGGTGCGGGACCGACCATGTGATACCCTACAACACTACAACATGTTAGAAGCCCTCATATGTCCAAATCCACTTTGGAAGATTTCGCTTTTGAAATTATGTCACAGTGCACAGCCCAGATATTACCCTTAGCATTTTGACCAGGGACATTTGACCAATATTTACGCACACCGGCGTGCTGTTAGTTGTTGTGGTCCATTTTACAGCTAAATATAATCCAGAGTTCTTCATTGTCCTTAACGTTCTTTTCAGGCGTGTCGAATGGCTTCAATTTTGTGATCAGGAAATTTTTTCTGTTTTTGGTTCATGTGAACACCTAATATAGGAAGAGGCCCCCTGTATCTCCAACGTCTCCTGTCAACATCATCAGCATAAAAAAGCCAGAAGTTCGCCTTTTGTGCATTTCGGATATCGCCTGTAAGTAATGTTGGTGTTTTTCAGACAGAAATAGTGGTCCATTCTATTTATGACCTTTATTACGGCTGCAAAATCAGGAACATTTTTAGTTGTTGGTCCATTTCAACCCCTAAATATATTGAGGACATCTTTGAAAACAATAGGCCTAGCCCTTCTGAGCCTAACCCTACCCCTTTCGTGAGGATCGGACGATAATTGCAATCTGCATATAATATCCCCAACCTGTGTTGTAAGGTGAAAAAAATATTACAAAATATACACTTCAATATTATAAGTCAAATTGAAAAAATCGCATGCGATCAAAAAAAAAAAAAATATGTCACAAAATACTACAAAATCAATATTAACATCTTCATAGGCGTATTTTGTGCGATTTTCTTTACATTTAATACTTTTATGCCAAGAGGGCATTCTGAATTGACAAACATTTGTCAAAATCGGTCCAGCCATTTTTGAGATATAAGCAATCTAACAAACATCCCCTTCCTTTGTATATACACATTGTATATATTTCGCTATATATATCCGATATATTTACTATCGGCATCTACGTAACGGTCAGGATTGACCTGTTTTTATACCCTCCACCATACTATGGAGGGTATATTAACTTTGTCATTCCGTTTGTAACTCCTCGAAATACTCATATCAGACCCAACAAAGTATATATATATCGTGATCAGCGTAAAATTCTAAGTCGATTTAGCGATGTCCGTCTGTCTGTCTGTCCGTCTGTCTGTCTGTCTGTCTGTTGTAATCACGCTATCTTTCGAATGAATTGAGATAGATGGCTAAGATTTTGTACACATGTTTATTTTTCCAGTAGGCAGGTTAAGTTCGTAAATGGGCCATGTAGGTCCACGTTTTCATATAGCCCCCATATAACGGTACCTCCCTATATTCGGTATTTTGATGATTTTAGCGACATTATTCACCGGAATCGTTTAAAAATTGGTATTTGAAGTTCAAAATGGATACTACACCCTAAGACAGAAAATTGTCTGTGCAGGTCCACGTCTTCCTATAGCCCCCACATGATGATTTTAACGACACTACTCACCGAAATCGCTTCAAAATTGGTATTTGAAGTTCGTAATGGGAACTACAGTCTGTGACAGAAAATTGTCTGTGCGGGTCAGGGTCTTCGTATAGGCCCCATATATCAGTACCTCCCTATATTCGGTATTTTGACGATTTTAGGTACAATACCCACCGAAGTTGTTTGAGATGTGGTATTTGAAGTTCGTAATAGATGCTACAGCCTGCGACAGAAAATTGTGTATGCTGGTCCAGGTCTTCGCACAGCTCCAATTTAACGGCACCTCCTTATATACGATATTTTGATGATTTTAGCTACATTATTCGCCGTTTATTTCAAGTTTCGAATTTGCTTATTGGCTTATGACAAACAATGCCTATGTATGTCCAAGTCGTATAGACCCCAATATAACGGCTATATTCGGTATTTTTAAAATTTTAACAGAATTTTTTAAGGATTTTATTATTTAAAAATTTCCAAATTCGTTGCAAATGGTGGAGGGTATTAAAAGTTCGGCCCGGCCGAACTTACTGCTTTTTAACTTGTTCTATTTGTGATTTCGACGGGATTAAAAATATTAGCGGTTTAATGAAAAATTTGACTTTTATTTCACACAAATTTTATGGTCCGTTTCACCCACTAAATATTATCCGATGACCATCAAAATTGGAAAGCTTCTGCCCAGCCCCAAGCCCTAGCGCCGTGCTAACTCCCTCTTCGATTGGTCTATAATTGCGACCTGTAGAGCCACTGCAAAATTAGGAAATTTTCGGTTTTTGGTCCATTTCAAATATTATGCAATCATCTCCAACTCCATTTTCAATTTCGTGAGGATTGGGCCATAATTGCGACCTGTAGAGTGATTACAAATTAACATGGACAGACGGACGGACATACATAGCTAGATCGACTCAGCTCGGCGTGATAGGAAGATCCATATATACTTTCCTATGTGGGAAACCAATATTTCGTGGTGTTACATAATTTTTGGCCCAATCAAACTTATAATACCTCCGACACATAGTGTAATAACAAAATTTTAATGGAAGGTGTTCAATTTTTTGTAAAATTTGAAAATTAGGAGGTACTTGGAAAACTTTGTGGGGAAGGTATCAGAAAGTGTTGACCGAAACTATCGATTTTCACAACTGATGTCTGATATAAAGACTATGATATGGAAGATTTCAACCAAATCGAATAGTGCCATTCCATTAGACATTTAAAAAATTTGAAAATTGTATCGATATATATATTTATATTTATTTAAATTGAAAAATTTACTGAACAAATCAGAAAGTACCAGTCGGTTTGCCGATAGATATATAAACTCAGTATTTGTTTGACCTACTTTGCTTTGATCATTGACTATCCCAGTTGCTGGACTTCTGCAAAATAAGGAATTTTTTCTGTTTTCGGCCTAATTCAACCCACATTTAAACTTATAATATCCCCAACAAATTGTGTTGTGGAGAATAATTTTGATTAATTTTTATTTGTCATACAAACATCTTTCAATATCTTTTTAAGATTTTTCCAAGCTAAAGGCTTATGTTCCTGAGCTTTTTATAATATTATTCTTAAGCCATTTTTGTGTGTTGGAGACCTTGTAATTGCATGGCTCAAGTTTAGCCAAGAGCTAATATAAATCTGAACTGTAGGCTTCGCCCCTGAATCTTCTCGGTGAGATAAAAAAAACCACAACAAAGTCGAAAGCCATAATTATTACATTTTTTTTTTAATTTTATTGAACGAAAGCAAAAAATGTCGAAAATAGCATCAAAATTTAGAATAAGTTTAGTTTGTTCGAATTGGCCACCTTTGGCACGAATTATGGCCTTCAAAAGGCCAATGAAACCGTCACACGCTGCCCGAATGTTGCTCTGTGGCATTTTGGTCCATTCCCGGCGAAGCGCTTGCTTGAGGTGATCGACACTTTGGTATTTTTACACAATAGTTACTCATCGCACTTTTGCAATTTTGAATTTCAATGGCTTTAACCCGAGCTCATTTTTCAATATTTGGGAATGGAATGTTAGCTCACGAGCCATTTTTCGGTCACTGCAACGCGGGTTTCGATCAAGTCGCTTTTTTACTTTTCGAACCATTTCTGCTGATGTTGTTGTTTTCTTCCGTCCACTTCCTTGACGTCGGGCTACGCAGTATCACAATAACGAGCGATGGTACGTTATACAAAATATTTATTCACATTTAAAGACTGGAGTGCTCTAACGATAGCCACTTGTGGTTTTCAGCCAAATATAACGTAATCAAACTAACACGCTTGAATTCCATCACGAAAAACTTTTGTTCTGGAAAATTCTCACCAAAATGCTTCTGTACGCTTATGAAAGACTAATTCTAAACTTATTCTTAAATTTTATGCTAGTTCCGACATTTTTTGCTTTTTTTCAATAAAATAAAAAAATTACAAATTATGTTGTTTGACTTTGTTGCAGTTTTTTTCTCCCTGTAGCTCCCATATATAACTTCAGCTGACTTCAAGTTTATTCTGTCTTAGAAGCGTAGTATCAGTTCAAATGTAATGGATTTTGATGAATTTTTAGTAGAAATTAAGAATATACCTCACATATACTAGTTGCTTTCGGATTTAAATTATGTCTGCTTTAAAGCCATAATACCCACTCAAAAATCCTACTATATTCCCACGAAAGACACACTAAGCAAATTGCATCTGACGGGATAAATTGAAGAATCTATTTCCCAGCACTGAAGATAATGAGTCAAGCTTTTGTCTTAACTGATTAAAAACGAACTAGTAATCTAATTACAGTTAAGCTTCTTAAAGAAAGTAAAATCGCTGTCAACGAATTAAAGTCCGAGACCAGTACTAACATGTGCGAATGCTACTAGGCCCATTTTGATTAAGTACGTTTTCTTTTTTCACTAATAGATAGGAATAGCAATATTAGCAATTCTATAATTTAAAATATTTACAACTTATATTAATATTATTTTTTATATTGGTAAAATCAATCGATATACACTTTCTCAAAATTCTGTTTTGGAAGTAGTTGGCTCAGTCTCTCTTCAAAATTGCCAACAAATAAAAACAATTTCAAAATGACATGTGATCTACTACAAGCCGAATTGTATCAATCTTATATTTATCTCGAACATACATCTGTATGGAAAAAGAAGCAACAACAACCTGAGTAATTTTTTTTTTACCAATGATTTTTAAGTAATCAACTGTGAATAATGCGATTTGTGCCCCACCTCCAAGACAAACTGGTAGCATTAATGTCAACAGAAATCATAACAACATTTTTATTGAATGACATTTCTTTTTGCTCTCCTTTTGGCTGATTTGTAAAGAAAATGTAGGGTATAAAAACTGTAATCGCCCAGTCCGAAATCGTAGTCAACTTTAGCGTTAAATCAGCTAAACAACGGTTCCCCGAAAGCAAAACTATACCAAAAAATGGCATTCAAGGTAGGTGGACCGAAAAAAAATAGGTGGAGAATTTTTATTTATATATTTTTTTAATATTTATTGAATTTCTTTCTACAGTTCATTGCTGTCTTCGCTTTGTTCGCCGTTGCCAGTGCTGGCGTTATTCCAGCCTCGGAGGTATATCATGCTGCTCCTGCCGCCGCTGCCGTAGTAAAAACCGTTGCTCCAGTTCATGTTGCTGCCCAGCCTGTTTTGACCAAGGCTGTCGAAGAATTCGATCCCCATCCCCAATACAAATATGCCTATGATGTTCACGATACTGTGTCGGGCGATTCTAAGAGTCAAGTTGAGGAACGTGATGGCGATGTCGTTCGCGGTGAATACTCGTTGATCGATGCTGATGGTTTCAAACGTACCGTCCAATACACCGCCGATGATGTGAACGGTTTCAATGCTGTTGTTAGCCGCGAACCTTTGGTTGCTAAGGCTGTTGTTGCTGCCGCTCCAGCCGCTGTTGTGAAGACCGTTGCTCCAGTAGCTCATGTTGCTGCCCCAGCTGCCGTCGTTAAGACGGTAGCTCCTGTGGCTCACATTGCTGCCCCTGCTGCAGTTGTTAAAACTGTAGCACCAGTAGCTCATGTTGCCCACGTTGCCACACCCGTTGTTGCCCATGTAGCTGCCCCTGCCACCTATGTTGCTCACCACTAAGTGAACGATATATGCTTTCATATATTGTAATGTTAATATGTTTTAATAAATGCTAGGCTTATATTGAAATGGATCTACGTTTAATTATATTAGTTAGTAGTTTATGGGCAATTACTAATTTACGAATTGAACTCAAATATATTAGAGTAGTATCGTCGTTTTCAAAAGCATAAATGACTTCTGGTCTCCTATCTAAAATCATCCTTGTTTGCAATTTTAATAATTGAGAAAAGAAGTTTTCTTGAGGTTATAGAATATATTTAGCAGTCTTTAAGATTAACATCTATAACAGAAAAAAGAGAACCTGCAAAGTATAGGTTATTAGTTTTATATTCATTTCACCTTCTAATATGGCTTTATATATTCATATTCATATTTACTCATTTTTTTTGGAGTGAAAATTGGTCACGAGCGGAAGTGCTGAAGAGCACAGTTTCATTTTAAGTTCAATCTCCATACTTTTGTTTTTATACCCTACACCACAAGGTGGTCAGGGTATTATGTCTTTGTGCATTTGTTTGTAACAGGCAAAAGGAAACGAGATAGACTCATAGTTCCTTTTGATGATCTGCATAGAATCACTTTCTGAGTTGATTTATCCATGTCAGTCCGTCTGTCCGTAAGTCCGTCCGTCTGTCCACGTATTCTTGTGAACAAAATGCAGGTCGCATTTATTATCCGATTGAGATGAAACTTTGCAAAAAACATTTGTTTGGCCCAAGGACGAACCCTATTGAAATTGGAGATAATCGGTCAAAATTTAGATATAGCTTCCATATATATCTTCGTCCGATTTGCCTTGTATTGTGCACCAAACGTGTAATATCAGCCCGAATTGTATGGAATTTTGCATATACATCCAGATTAGGTCTGAAAATATGTATGCCAAATTTGATCGAAATCGGTTCAGATATAGCTATAGCTCCTATATATATTGTTCATCCGATTTTTCATTTTTATCCACCGCCGACGTAATATGCACTCTGCAACAACAATATTTAGGGAAATATATCAAATGCAGCTCAGAAATACATTTGCTAAATTTTATAGAGAGCGGTTCAGATTTAGATATAGCTCCCATATATAACTTCGTCCGATTTACCTTTTATTGTGCACCAAACGTCTAATATTTATCCAAATGGGATGGAATTTGGCATTTACGACCGAATTGAGTCTAGAAGCTAGTATGTCAAATTTGGTGAAGATCGGTTCAGATATAGCTATAGCTTCCATATATATTATTCATCCGATTCCTTATATTTGCTACCCACAACCGTAATATGCACTCCGTAACAACGATATTCAGGGAAATATATCAAATACAGTTCAGAAATATCTTTGCAAATTTTATCGAGATCGGTTCAGATTTGGATATAGCTCCCATATATATCTTTACCCGATTTAAAATTAATTGTGCACCAAATGGGCAATACAATTCCGAATTTAAAAGATACAAATGCTTCGGCATATTTAATCCTTTGAAGTTTAAGCTATAATTATAATAATAGCGTGTATGATTGAATTCTCCCATAAAACTTTTAATTGTTATGTGGAGCTCTACTAAATTAGCAAAGTGGTGTAGGGTATCATAAAGTCGGCCCCGCCCGACTTTAAGACTTTCTTTACTGGTTTGAAGTTTATTCTCCACTTTTATGTTTTTTTTTCTGGAAGCGTTTCCGAGTTACTTAATAACAAACAAGTAAGTAAAGGCAATAGCCGTGCGGGCCGACCATATGATGCCCTACAACACTAAAATATGTTAGAAGCCCCTTTATATTCAAATCAGAAGAAGATTTCGCTTTCGAAACGATGTCACGGAGCACTGTCCAGATATTACCATTAGCATTTGGACATTTGCCCAATATTTACGCACTCCGTCGTGCTGTGTCCATTTACAACTAAATATAATCCAATGGTCCATTCAACCCGCTGTCCTAAACTCTAAGTTCATGCGAGATTACGTGTTCTTTTGTTTGGTTTTATGACCTTTATAACGGCTGCAAAATCAGGAACATTTTTAATTGTTGGTCCATTTCAATCCCTAAATATATTGCGGACATTTTTGAAAACAATAGGCCTAGCCCTTCTGAGTCTAACCCTACCCTTGTGAAAAAATTTAAGACGATCGGACGATAATTGCAATCTGTATATAATAACCCCAACCTGTGTGGTAAAGTGAAAAAATTTTACAAAATGTACACTTCAATATCATTATAAGTCAAATTGAAAAAATCGCATGCCATAAAAAATATGAAAAAATAAAAAAATTGTCACTAAATACTACAAAATCTATATTAATATCATTATTGGCATCTTTTTATGCGCTTTTTTAGATTTTATTCTTTTATGCCAAGAGGGCATTCTGAATTGACAAAATTTGTCAAAATCGGTCCAGCCATTCTTGAGATATAAGCATTTTAGCTAACATCCCCTTCCTTTGTATATATACATATTATACGCTATATATATCCGATATATTTACTATCGGCATCTACGTAACGGTAAGAATTGACATGTTCGCCTATTTGTGATTTCGCCGGGATTAGAAATATTCGCGGTTTAATGGAAAATTTGACTTTTATTTAAAACAAATATTATGGTCTATATCACCCACTAAATATTACCCGATGACCATCAAAATTGTAAGGCTCCTGCCCAGCCCCATGCTAACTTCCGCGTCGATTGGTCAATAATTGCTACCAGTAGATCAACTGCAAAATCAGGAAATTTTTCAATATGTGGTCCATTTCAGCCCCTACATATTATGCGATCATCTCCAAAAGCTTTTATTCTGGCCCTAGCCCCACCTTCATTCTTAATGTCTTGAAGATCGGGCCATAATTGCGACCTGTAGAGTAATTATAAATAAACATGGACAGACGGACGGACATACGTAGCTAGATCGACTCAGCTCGGCGAGATAGGAAGATCCATATATACTTTCCATTGTGGGAAACCAATATGTCGAGGTGTTACATAATTTTTGGCCCAATCAAACTTATAATACCCCCAACTCATATTGTTGTAGGGTATAAATACATCAAGGATACTTAAATTGCCCAATCTTATATTAAAGTATTCTGGAAGTCATGCACTCCTTAGCCGATTTCAAATTTAAACCGCTCTAAAGTCTAAATTAAAGCAACAATTAATACCGAAATTGCTAATATGGTGTTTGGAAGTCATAAATTCGGCATCGCACGACTTTTGTCTTTCCTCACTTGTTTTAAATTAAAATACACCGCTTGTCTCGAGCTATGAACTCAATTATTACCAATTATTCATTATACGTTTACTCCTTATGGATAAAGGCATAGTTTGCTTTGTTAAAGAACCTCCAAGAATCTGACATCATAAAGGGGAATCTGTTATCGTAGTAAAGAGTTTTACATTCTTGCAGTTCTGGAACGGAGCAATAGTTATAATTAATAACATCGATTGCGGAATGAAACAAACCACATTTGTAAAAACCGAACATTTAAAAGAGTCCTTCTATAGCCTTATAGCCGACCGTTGGGTTTAACCAGACATTACGTATAAATATCAATTTATCAATCAATGTACGAAATCTACTCAAATACACACCTCCACCTACATTCAGCAATTTTTATTAATTCAACAAAAAAAAATTCAAAAAATTCCTCAAACATACTTTGGAAATTTAACAAGTTTTTTGCGTCACAAACACGATTATTAACAAAGACGACAACAACGGCAATATCCGGTAGCTTAACTCCCATGTTTGTTGTTCTTTCTCTGCTCTGCAAATAATTTTGAATGTCAAGTTATTTAATGAATGTGGTGGCTTTGAGCCGTATTACGGCTTTGACGGATGTGTTTCGAACAGAGTTTGATGTTGTGATCAAAAGAAAAATTACTCCAATTTTTAGTGTTGTTGTTTCTCTTTCTGGTAGAAGGACAGATGTAGAAGTAAACACACAGAGACCCACCACGAACATGTTAGCAGACACACGCGTCTAGTTGGTCAGTGTAAAACCGAAATGAATTGACACAATTTATTTTCTTTTCTTCAGGCGAATGCCAATGTCAAACCTTTCGCCAGCAGGGTATACAACATTGTCGTAAGCATTAAAGCTTATTAACGAGAATTTTTTATGGTAAATGGCGGGATGTTAAAGGGTTATGAAAATAGTAATATATCTTTATATATATATATATATTAAAGAGTAGTAAAAATGAATGACTGACTGATCGAGAATCAGACGACACAGCTGAAGCTAGAGTCCTGAAATTTCTCACGGGGGCCAGTCTTCGTGCGTAGGCGTGTAATTAGGCTAGGTTTTTGGAAATCCGTAATAAAAACGTACGAAAAGTACCAAAATGTACTAAAAACTATATACTTTGTACAGGACACGGGCTAGAATTCAGAAACTTAGAATGAGAATCATTGATGGAGTGCCGGAAAGATGTCCCAAGGAGTTTTTGGAAAGTAGATCTTTGTGGCTACGAAAATTTCTAAAATGGTACTTCTTTTTCTAAAAAAAATTGTAAAGTGGTACTATTTAGTATTATGTAAACGGATAGAGCTGAAAAGTTGAAATTTGTTATGAGAATCAAGGTCTGAAAAAAGGTTAAATATATAATTTAATTTACTAAATTTGGAACAATTTGGTATTGGGTGGACAGAAAGCGCTTCAAATCTGAAATTTGGTATTTGCACGAAAAGTACCAAATTGTACTAAATTTGGTATTGGGTAAAGGAATACAGCATAAATCCTAAAATTGGTATCAAGATTAAATATGGCATCCGCGTTTGAGATTTGGCAGTGGTTTGAACATGCGGACAATATTTGTACGAAAATTACCTAATGGTACGAAATTTAGAATTGGGTGAAGGAATACAGCATAAATCCTAAAATTAGTATCAAGATTAAATATGGCATCCGCGTTTGAGATTTGGCAGTGGTTTGAACATGCGGACAATATTTGTACGAAAATTACCTAATGGTACGAAATTTAGAATTGGGTGAAGAGATGACATTAAGGTCTTTGCTGGAATCTGTATTTGAGATATGGATATGATGTCGGAAATGTGTACTATAATTGTACGAGGAGTACTAAATTGTACTAAATTTCGTATTAGGTGAAGGAATAGAGCTGAAATCCCGAAATTTTATATAGATATCACTATTGGTGTCTTTGGTTAAGATATGAAGTTTGTTTTAGGAATGTGTGCAATAGTTGTCCGAAAAGTACTAGATACTACTAAATTTGGTATTGGGTGAAGGAACAGAACTGAAACCCTTAAATTTTATATTGAGGTTTGTGTTGGTATGTGGAATTGAAACATGGAAGAGGTTTTGGTAATGCGTACTATAAATTACGAAAAGTACCAAATTGTACATAATTTGGTATTGGGTGAAGGAATAGAACTGAAATCCTAAAATATGATATGGATGTCATTGTTGTTGTCTGTGGTTACGATATGGAGGTAGATTTGGAAATGTATACTTAAATTGTTCGAAAAGTACTAAATTGTACTAAATTTGGTATTGGATGAAGGAATAGGGCTGGAATCCCAAAATTTGGTATTTCGTTCTTCGTTGGTATCTAGAATTAAGTTATGGAGGTGGGCTTAAAAATGTGCACTACTGTTGTTCGAAAAATACTAAATTGTTCTAGATTTGGAAGTTTTTTGAAGTCTCTGTTGTTATTTGGATTTAGATATGGAGATGGTTTCGGAAATATGTACTATAATTGCACTAAAAGTACCAAATAGTACTTATTTTGGTATTAAGTGAAAAAATATGGCTGGAATCCTGAATTTTGATATAGCGGTCTCTCTTGATATCTGGAATTTAGATATGGAAGTGATTTTGCAAATGTGTACGTAAAGTACTAAATGGTACTATATGGATATTGGTTGAAGGGATTGATCTGGAGTTCCGAAATATGTTATGGGTATCACTATTTGTTTTGTGGTTAAGAGAAGGAGCTAGTTTAGCATATGGGTGCTACAATTGTACTAAATGTTACTAAATTAGTTAATGGGAGAAATTACAAGCTGAAATAATCAAAATTAATTTTGCCGTCTCTGTTGGATTCTAGGATTTACATATGGGGGATATATTTCTAAATCTTGCATCAAGGTCTGTCTACTAAAATCAAGACATACAGAGTGAGATAAAAAACTGCAACAAAGTAAAAAACCATAATTTTTACATTTTTTTAAATTTTATTGAATGAAAGCAAAAATGTTGGAAATGGAATCAAAGATTAGAATAAGTTTAGATTTGTTCGAATTGGTCATCTTAGGCACGAATTATGGCCATCAAACGGCCAATGATACCATCACACGACATTTCCCGGCCCAGCCCATTCACGCCGAAGCGCTTGCTTGAGGTGGTCGACACTTTGGTATTTTTTAGAGCCAAACTTGCTTTCCAAAATACTCCAGACACAATAGTCCAAAGGATTGGTATCCGGAGATTTTGGTGGCCTTGTGCGCTAGAAATGAAGACAGGAACCTCATTTTGTAACCATTCTTGGGTGGCGCGTGGTGAGTGCGATGATGCGTAGTTCTGTTGGTATGTCCAAGGTCTGCGGCCAAAATGTTTACGTGCCCAAGGCTTTAATACACATTCCAAAATATTTTGCGATAATATTTGGCAATTATTCTGACTCCACGATCGATTAATACGAGCGGAGAGCGAGCGGCGGCGCTAAGTTCTGGTGGCCAACGGAAGGTGCACATTTTCAGCTGACCTCTTGCTTACTTGCCAAAGTAAACATGATCATTTTGTTTGTTTACAAACTGCTGGACAATGAATGTTTTCTCATCGGATAAAACCAAATTCGGCAGTTCACCACTTTCGGCCAAGCGAAGCAAATCTTTAGCTCATTTGAGTCTATTTTCTTTTTATTGAGGTGTAAGTTCTTGCACTACTTGGAATTTCGATGACTTTGCCCCGAGAACTGTTTTTCTGGAAATGTTATATATTAAGTTTGTCATTCCGTTTGTAACACCTCGAGATATACATTTTAGACCCCACAAAGTATATATATTCTTGATCAGCATAAAATTCTATGTCGATTTAGCAATGTCCGTCCGTCTGTCCGTCTGGCCTTCTGTGGAAATCACTCTAGCTTCCGAACGAAATAAAGTAGGCTGATAAAATTTTACTCAATTGTGTATTATGTCTGCAGGACTTTTGGTATTGAAAATGGGCCATGTAGGTCCGCGTATAGCCCCCATAAAACGGTACTTCCCGATATGGGGTATTTTGATGATTTAAGCGACATTATTTACCGGAATTTTCTCAAATTTGGTATTTGAAGTTCGTAATGGATTCTACATCCCAAGACAGAAAATGAGCCATGTAGGTCCACGTCTTCGTATAGTCCCCATAAAACGGTACCTCCCGATATTTGGTATTTTGATGATTTTAGGTTATGTTGATGTCATTACTAGCAACGCTGAAAATGGAACACACGTCTACCAATTTTTTCTAGACACAATTTCAACCCATTCATGGGTAAAAAAATAACAACAAATGATGTATACATCTTAAAATAAGACGCTAGTAGGATGTTTCATAAGAAGACACTGGTGACCTAATGACATTTTTTTCTGTTTTCTACGAGTGCGCCGGACTTTTGTCTTTTACATTAGATGTTTATATTCTTTTTTGGTTACCCTATTTATGCTTACATACTTTGAACGCAACAAGTAATTCATTCATAAAATTAATTGGCCAGCGAACGTTAAATACTTTGTCACCAAAATTCTCAAAGGTGTGCGACTTAACATCAACATTTTGGCGGCACAAGAGAATAAGTGATTCTGTTTCTCCTTTTCTTAATTTTTGTCTTATCGTATAAAAGCCGTTGACTTCACAAAATTCTTATCACAATTAATTGAACATTCAATTCAATTACACTTACTCCGAATCCACCAAGGGTCACTACTAACCAATTTTGACGAACGAAATGGCTTTCAAGGTGAGTTATATCGGATTGGAAGAGAACTTTTGATCCCTTTGATGTTTTGTAAAAGGACTAATAAATCTTTTTTGTTGGGTTTTTCAGTTTATTGCTGTCTTTGCCCTGCTCGCTGTCGCCAATGCCGGCATCCTTCCAGCTGCTCAAGTCTACCATGCTGCTCCCGCCGCTGTTGTTAAGACCGTTACCCCTGTCCTGACCAAGGCTGCTGAAGAATATGATCCCCATCCTCAGTACAGATACGCCTATGATGTCCAAGATGCCGTCTCTGGTGACTCCAAGAGCCAAGTTGAAGAACGTGATGGTGATGTTGTGCGTGGTGAATACTCTTTGATCGATGCTGATGGTTACAAACGTACTGTTCAATATACCGCTGATCCCGTCAATGGTTTCAACGCCGTCGTCAGCCGCGAACCCTTGGTAGCTAAGGCTGTGGTTGCTGCTCCCGCTGCTGTGGTAAAGACCGTTGCTCCCGTTGCCCACTATGCTGCCCCCGCTGCTGTTGTGAAGACTGTTGCCCCAGTTGCCCACTATGCTGCACCAGCTTACCATACCTATGCTGCTGCAGCTGTTGTTAAGTCGGTAGCACCAGCTTACACCACATACTCTGTACCTGCCGCCCATGTCGTCCGCCACTAAATGTATATTTCGTAAAAATGCTATGACCTGAATGTCCTATTGTTGAGTTAATAAATTATTTAAAGATTGAACGAAATTGTGTGTCAAAATTAATCAGAACCCATATCATAATATGTTAAGGAACTACATATTGGGTACAGTCATGGTATTGCTAGAATCTAATATTTTTAGTTAGGTCAAGAAGATTCTAACAAATATAACTGACGTCTCAAGTATGGTGGTGACACATGACAAAAGCTTATACTTTAAGCGGACGGAGAGCTTTCCAATTAGACTACCTATGAAAGGATGTGTAAAACGAACCTTAAAGTGAAGCCATCATGATTTTTTGAATCGATTAAACGATGTGTGTCTGTTGAAATCAAGACATTCCCACACTTTTTCCTCGGGAGTTTTGACATTTGGTGTAATAGTTGTTATTTTGATTTGAGTGATTGGAATTTATTGGTCGATTGATGGTACAGCTACTCAAAGATTGACGCATTTCAAAAAATGTAGTTCCGAAAAACGCAAAGTAATGGTCTCGTTCATTGGTAATTGAATCAGTTAAGAAAGGTTGAACCTATTTCGACAATAATTTTTACAAATGATTGTCATACCCCAAGTTAGGTTTTTATTTAAAGAAAAATTGACCACGCCCACTTTTTATACCCTCCACCATAGTATGGAGGGTATATTAAGTTTGTCATTCCGTTTGTAACACCTCGAAATATAAATTTTAGACCCCAGAAAGTATACATATTCTTGATCAGCATAAAATTCTATGTCGATTTAGCGATGTCCGTCCGTCTATCTGTCTGTGGAAATCACTCTAGCTTCCGAACGAAATGCAGTAGATTGATAAAATTTTACTAAAATGAATATTATGCCTGCATGACTTTTGGTATTGAAAATAGGCCATGTAGGTCCACGTTTTGGTATAGGCACCATATAACGGTACCTCCCGATATTCGGTATTTTGAAGATTTTAGCGATGGAATTGTTTAAAATTTGGTATTTGAAGTTCGAAATGGGTACTACAGCCTATGATGCTGCAGCCTATGACAGAAAATTATCGGTGCAGGTCCACGTCTTCATATAGCCCCCATATAATGGTACGTCCCGATATTCGGTATTTTGATGATTTTAGCAACATTATTCACCGGAATTGTTTAAATTTTGGTATTTGAATTTTGCAATGGATGCTACAGCATATGAGCAAAAATTGTCTGTGCATGTCCACGTCTTCGTATAGCCCCCATAAAACGGTATTTTGATGATTTTAGCGACATTATTTACCGGAATTGTTTCAAATTTGGTATTTGAAGTTCGTAATGGATACTACAGCATATACCAGAAAATTGTCTGTGCAGGTCCACGTCTTCGTATAGCCCCCATATAACGGTACCTACCGAAATTCGGTATTTTGATGATTTTAGCAACATTATTCACCGACTTTTTTTTAAAGTTTCGCATTTGAATATTGTAATGGCTTATGACAAAATTTAGCTCTGCAGGTCCAAGTCGTCGTATAGACCCTAATTTAAAAGCTAAATTCGATATTTTTAAGATTTTAACTGAATATTTAACGGATTTTGTTGTTTTTGAGAATTGCCAAATTCATTCCAAATGGTGGGGGGTACTCAAAGTTAGGCGCGGTCGAGCTTACACCTTTTTTTGATATTTTTTATTCATTTTTTTTCTGTTGTTTGTAATTCCAGTGAATAAAAAACTTCAGAAAAGTCGAACAATTGGAACAATTAAAATTTGGTTCTCTGATATTCGAATTTTATGTGGAACTGCTCCAGAATGACTGTTCGAATATTGAAAATTGGAAATACTTAATGGAAATATTACAAAAATCCGTAAATTTTATATGTTACCGCTAATTTATGGTAACATTTAAGGTCATTAAAGTGAACACAGCATTTATTTAGAAAATATTTCAATGAATAAGTAACTCATTGATTCAATGCCCAGATGAAGTTAAAATTCTGAAATGTTGCATGTCGGTCAATGTTGGAGCGTATAAGGCTGCGTTTTTGGACATCCAAACTATAAGTTCGCAATAAATTTCGTACCATTTAGTATTATGAGAACGAATTGAGGAAAAATCTTGAATAAAGTTTAGGAAGTATAGCTAATATGAGGAGATGGTTTTGGAAATGTGTACTAAACTAAATGGTATTAATTTTTGTACAGTTTTATTTTTGTGTGAACGGATGCAGCTGGAAATTTGAAATGTAGATATTGGGATACTGCCGGTGATTAGGTAAAAATAAAGAGCTGGTTCTGGGACGAAAAGTACTAAATGGTACTAAATTTCTGTATCGGGTGAACGGATAGTGCTAGAAATCTGAAATTTGGCATTAGGGTTAGTGTGCAGGCTTGAGACCAGAAAACGTACAAAAAATCATTAAATATTTTATTTTGTTCTATATATCTTACACAGAATTTTTTATACCCTACAACACTATGTGTTGGGGGTATTATAAGTTTGATTGGGCCAAAAATTATGTAACACCACGAAATATTGATTTCCCACATAGGAAAGTATATATGGATCTTCCTATCTCGCCGAGCTGAGTCGATCTAGCTATGTATGTCCGTCCGTCCGTCTGTCCGTCTGTCCATGTTAATTTGAATCACTCTACAGGTCGCAATTATGGGCCGATCCTTACGAAATTGAAAATGGAGGTGGGGTTTATGACAGAATAGAACCCTATTTCTTTTGGAGATGATCGGATGATATTTAGGTGTTGAAATGGACCAAAAACTGAAAAATTTCCTGATTTTGCAGTTGCTCTACAGGTCGCAATTATAGACCAATCGAAGCGGAAGTTAGCCAGGGGCTAGAGCTTAGAGCTGGGCAGAATCCTTCCAATTTTGATGGTCATCGGATAATTTTTAGTTGGTAAAATAGACTATAACATTTGTGTTAAATAAAAGTCAAATATTCCATCAAACCGCGAATATTTATAATTCCGGCGAAATCACAAATAACCGAACAGGTCAATTCCGACCGTTACGTAGATGCCGATAGTAAATATTTCGGTTATATATAGCGAAATATATACAATGTGTATATACCAACGAATGGGATGTTACGAAATGGGATGAATGCTTATATCTCAAGAATGGCAAGACCGATTTTGACAAATTTTGTCAATTCAGAATGCCCTCCTGCCATTAAAGTATAAAATCTAAAAAAATCGCAGAAAAATATGCCGAGAAAGATGTTAATTTAGATTTTGTAGTACTTTGTGACATTTTTTTATATTTTCATATTTTTTATCGCATGCGATTTTTTTCATTTGACTTATAATATTGAAGTGTATATTTTGTAATATTTTTTCACCTTACAACACAGGTTGGGGTATTATATACAGATTGCAATTATCGTCCGATCCTCATGAAAATTTTTTTCAACAACTAAAAATTTTCCTGATTTTGCAGCCGTTATCAAGGTCACAAATATTAACCAAAGGACATGAAATCTGGCATGAAGTTAGAGTTTAGGACAGCGGGTACAATGGACCACTAATATTGTGTGAGAAGATACCAGCATTACTTACAGGCGATATCCGAAATACACAAAAGGCGAACTTCGGGTTTTTTATGCTGATTTCGTTGACGAATTTAGCAATTTATCTAAGACAAGCAAATCATATAGATGAGTCTAAATTTGGAGATACAGAGGGGCATTTTGCTTTTGGAGATGATCGCAAAATATTTAGAGGTTCAAGTGAACCAACAGAAAAACTTCCTGATCAAAAAATTGAAGCCAATCGACACGCCTGTGAAGAGAGTTAAGGACAGGGAAGAATTCTAGCATTTTGGATGGCCATTGGATTACCTGTAAAATGGAGCACAACAATTAACAGCACGACGGAGTGCGTAAATATTGGGCAGATGTCCCTAGTCAGAATCCTAATTTCAAAAGCGAGTCGGCCTCGCACGACTATAGCCTTTGCTTACTTGTTTTTGAATACATCTGGTCGTTACCTCTATATTTAACTCACGTCAAAAATCGATAATATTAACTTCGTAGGGTGAATTTTAAAATAGCTTAATTCAAATAGAATTTTAATCTGACCAATAATATATACAAATACTTCGGGGTTTTTTAAAAGTGAATAGTAAAACTAACATACCCTTAACGTATGGAAGAGTGTTAAGCTCGAACTACCATTAATCATGAGGTCACAGCTAAATTCTTTGGGTGATAGTAAAAAATATATCCCAATCAATTCGAAATCTTCGACATTTACTTTAAGTGTAATTAAGTGATGCCGTTACATGATAAAATGTGGACATGTCACTTTTGGTCGACGTGCTTTATCTATCATTTGATACGACCAAAACATGCCACATCGAAATAACGGTTTCAGACACTAGGTGTCTAGAGGTCCATCCGTCCGTCTGTCTAGCTAACTGGCGCTCCAAACTCAATAAAACGTAACATTATTGACAAAATTAAATCGAGTTCGGTGATGGGAAATATAGGTCCAATATTGTCACAATTTTGTAATATTGTAATATTTTGTGATTTTACCCCTACAACACTATGTGTTGGGGGTATTATAAGTTTGATTGGCCCAAAAATTATGTAACACCTCGAAATATTGGTTTCCCACATAGGAAAGTATATATGGATCTTCCTAGCTCGCCGAGCTGAGTCGATCTAGCTATGTATGTCCGTCCGTCCGTCTGTCCGTCTGTCCATGTTAATTTGTAATCACTCTACAGGTCGCAATTATGACCCGATCTTCACGAAATTTAGAATGTAGGTGGGGTTGAGGTCAGAATAGAACCCTATTTCTTTTGGAGATGATCGCCAACTGTTTAGGGGTTGAAATGGACCAAATACTGAAAAAATGTCGGATTTTGCAGTAGCTGTACAGGTCGCAATTATAGACCAATCGACGCGGAATTTCGTATGTAGCTAGAGTTTAGGGCAGGGAAGAAGCTTACCAATTTGGGTGGTCATCGGTTAATATTTAGAGGGTAAAATAGACCATATCTTTTGTTTTGAAAAAATTAAAAATTTTTCATTAAACCGCGAATATTTTAAATCCCGGCTAAATCATAAGGCCATGACTAGGTTACTTCTGATCTTTACATTGATGTTAACATCCAACAAATCGGATATATAGCAAAATATGTGCGATATATATGTCTATCAAAGAGGATATGCTTGAAAGATCTCTTATATGTCGAGAACGGCTGAACTGATTTCGACAGTTCTCATTAATTCAGAATGCCCTCTTGGCAGGAAAGAAGCAACGTCTAAAAAATCGCATAAAAATATCTCTCTAAAGATGAAAATATTGATTTTCTAACATTTTCTCATATTTTTTTTCAATTTTGTCACATTTTTGGCATATTTTCATTTTGAATTAAACATTTGGTAATATTTCTAAAGCTAACAAAACTAAGTAGTTAGGATATCAGGATATCATATACAGATCGCATTTATGGCCCGATCCTTACGAAATTTTGCATGGGGATAAGATGAGGGTCAGAATAGAAGCCTACTCTTTTTGGAGATGATCGCCATATATTTAGGGGTTGAAATGGACCAAAAAACTGCAAAATTTGTCAACAGGTCGTAATTATTGCCCGATCCTCACGCACATTTGGATGGGGGTTACCGGACATTGCAAAAGCCAAGCAGTTTTGGATGGCCATCCAAAAATATTCAATGTGTGAAATAGTTTGCCAACTTTTGTAGACAAAATACGAAAATGTCCATTCCGGTGACTTTTTGGAGAATTCACAAATACAGGAAAGACGCACTTCTGACTATTTCGTTAACGCTGATTTCGTTGCGTTTCAGTAAAAAACGAATAATAAATGTTAATCTTTTGCCACGTCTGAGGGATTATAGGTCTTTGGGAAATATAGGTTCCAGATCTAGGAAGACCATTTAAGTGCAACATCTACCAATAAATTGGAAATGTGCAAATTAGTTTAAGTTGCTATTATTCGAAAATTAGAGAACGAAACCTGATGGTTTTCTTTTATTATTTGTCACAATATCTTATGGAATTCTTTCGAGTATCTCGCCTATATAAACTGTATCATTTATTATAGTGTTGTAGGGTATTCAACGGTCGGCCCCGCTCGACTGTAGCCTTTGCTTACTTGTTTCAATATTACTTTTGATTTTGAAGTGTATATTTTGTAATATTTTTTCACCTCACAACACAGGTTATTATACACAGATTGCAATTATCGTCCGATCCTCAGGGCTAGGCCTATTGTTTTCAAAGATGTCCGCTATATATTTAGGGGTTGAAGTGGACCAAAATGTTCCTGATTTTGCAGCCGTTATAAAGGTCACAAACTGAAACCAAACGACACGAAACCTCGCATGAAGTTAGGGTTTGGGACAGCGAGTAAAATGGATCACTACTTTTGTGAGAAAAAAATACCAGCATGCCTTACAGGGGATATCCGAAATACACAAAAGACGAAATTCGGGCAAATGTCGTAAAGAAGCAAATCATATAGATTAGTGTAAATTTGGAGATACAGAGGGCCCTCCTGCTTTGGAGATGGTCGCAAAATATTTAGCGGTTCAAATGAACCAAAAACAGAAAAAAATCCTGATCACACAACTGAAGCCAATCGACACGCCTGAGAAGAGAGTTAAGAACAGGGGAGAATTCGAGCAATTTGGACGTGCATTGCATTACATTTAGCTGTAAAATGGTCCGCAACAACTAACAACACGACGGAGTTCGTAAATATTGGGCAAATGTCCCTGTTCAAAATGCTAAGGGTAATATCTTGGCAGTACTCCGTGATATAAATTCAAAAGCGAAATCATCCAAAATGGATTTAGACATAAGGGGGCTTCTAATATATTGTAATGTGCTAGGGTATCACATGGTCGGCCCCGCACGACATATTTTTAATATTTGTTCAATTTGACTTAAGATATTAAATTGTACATTCTTCTAATATTTTGTTTACCTTGCAACGCTATGTGTTGAGAGAATAAGTATCAACCGATCCTCAGAAAATTTGGATTGGAGTCAGAATAGAAGCCTATTGTTTTTGAAGGTTTTCGGAAAATATTTAGTGATTTTTAAGTCGCTATACAGATCATAATTAAAGACCCATCAACCCTTAATTTTGCATGGGAAAGGAGTTTAGAATAGGACAAAAGCCTAGCATTTTGCTAGCACAACTTCTTTTGTGATTTTTTTTTTTTTTTTTTTTTTTGAATACCTATTAGCACGACTGAGATCTAAAGAGTATTACATGGTCGCTCTCGCACGGCTATAGCCTCTGATTACTTGTTTATATTTCATTTTTATCTCGAATACGTGGTTTTTATTTTATAGAAACTGGATTTAATGCCTGCCACATTTATTTAACATTATATTAATGTAATTTCCATAATTCGATAGCGCTTTAATTTTAATGAACGAATTCCTCATGAGAGTTGAATACATAACTGAACTACTTAGAAAATATTTTATATATCTGAGGTCACTCGCTAGCAGAACATTTCAGGTATTTACTGCATATGTATGTTTCTCCTCCATTTTATTCTTGATATAATGTCATATTTTGATTAGAACCACAAGATTACGAGAAATATCGTGACGTTTACCTATATTTACGGCCCCTTTGTGATAATGGGCATAAATTTTGCTATATCGCCGATATAGCCAACCAAAGTGATAGACCTCTGTCCTGTCCTAAACTCTATCCAACGTGCCAAAGTCCCAACCGATTTGTCTACAAGGTACTGTTTGCGCGGGTTTCCTTTCTTTTACTAATCTCCTACCATTAATGCAAATTGTGGAGCATTCACTCAAAAATATCGTCTACAAAATAATGCAGTAATTGATAAATTACATGAACCTGTTTTAATTTATTGTTTCATTGTTTTGTTTTGACATATTTTGGGTATAAAAGTTGATCGAAATCTAATAACGATATCATTCACATTTGGTAGTTACGCCTTTAAAGAACTTCAACAGTAGTCACAGACTCAACTACAACAATATGGCCTTTAAGGTAAGTGAATGGCTGGTTGTCTCATTGGGCATACTTTGTCATGTCATTTAGACAACAACAACGAACAATATTGACGGCATTAAAAACAATCTTTTAATACCTATTTTTCTTTGCAGTTTGTTTTTGCCCTTGCCTTTGTTGCTGTCGCCAGTGCTGGTTATGCTCCAGTTGCCTATCACACCGCTGCCGCCCCAGTAGCTGTAGCCCAAAAGGTGGTTGTCAAATCCGAAGAATTCGATCCTCATCCTCAATACAAATTCAGCTATGGTGTTGAAGACAAATTGACCGGTGACTCCAAGAGCCAAAACGAAGAACGTGATGGTGATGCTGTACGTGGTGAGTACTCCTTGATCGATGCTGATGGTTATAAGCGTACCGTCCACTACACTGCCGATGATGCTAATGGTTTCAACGCCGTTGTTCAACGTGAGCCTTTGGGTCATGCCGTGGTAAAGACTGTTGCTCCCGTTGCCCACTATGCTGCTCCAGCTGCTGTTGTTAAACATGTGGCTCCCGTAGCTCACTATGCTGCTCCAGTTGCCCACTATTCTGCCCCCGCCGTTGTTAAGACAGTAGCTCCTGTAGCCCATTACGCTGCCCCCGCTGTTGTCAAGACTGTGGCCCCCGTTGCTCACTACGCTGCCCCAACCCATTATGCATCCTATGAAACTCCCGCCTACGCTTATCATCATTAAGAGCCATTGTTGTTGATTATTTTTGTTAAATGCTGTTATGTCATAGATGTTTATTTATGTTTATAGCTAAATGTTAAATAGTAAAATACATTGAAAAAAATTTTGTAATAAACAAATCTAAGGCTCTTGTTATGTTTTTACACTATACCTGGAGATTCGAATACCCTACACTGCAGTTGCAGCAAACCCAATATATTATGCGAATTAAGTCCACCTTGAATGATATAGTGGTGCCAAGTCCTGGATTAATTAATTACTAAAGACCTGCTTATCTCTAACTTACGAAATAAAGCAGCATTCGATGAAAATGTTAGGAAGGGCGAATTAGATATAATTATGAACTTCGAAAATATAATTATAATCATATATGAAAGAAAGAACACTCCGACTCTTTTACCGCCTTTCGGAGCAAGTTCAACACAAATTGTACATACTTTGGAAGATTTATTAATTACAGATAAGTTCAAGGAGACAACTAATTCTTAAACACGGAAGATACTTATAGACGTGTCAACAACTATGAGCGATGATAATAATCCAGTCATTAGCAAAAAAAATGGACACGTACATCGGCGTTTTAAAAGTAACCAACCATCGAGAGTTACCAGATTAGAGGGAGCAAATTTGCTCACATTTTTGAAAATTTCGGATTCAAAATTCTCGGAATCCGTGCTTTCGCAAAATTGCAGATAAAAGTACCAGAAATATTTAACCGTCAAGGGAGCCACGAAAGAAGTATTTTTGTTTATTTTTATACCCTCCACCTTGGAAAGGAGGGTATATTAACTTTGTCATTCCGTTTGTAACATCCTTAAATATTCGTCTTAGACCCCATAAAGTATATATATTCATAATCAGCATAAAATTCTAAGTCGATTTAACGATGTCCGTCTGTCTGTCTGTCCGTCTATCTGTCTGTCCGTCTGTCTAAATCACGATACAGCCCACATTATTTGACGTAGAGCGCCAAAATTAAGCAGAGCAATTGCCATTGTGTCTAGGATGGTTGGTATTGAAAATGAGATATATCGGTCCACGTTCTGGTATAGTCCCCATATAATGGTACCTCCCGATATTCGGTATTTTGATGATTTATGTCACATTTTTTCACGGATTTGTCTGGAAATTGGAATTTGTAGGTCATAACGGGTCCCTGAGCGTGTGGCAAAACATTGCATGTATAGGTCCACGTTGTGGTATAGCCCCCATATAAACGTACCTCCCGATATTCGGCATTTTAATGGTTTTTGGGACATTTCTTCTAATGTTTCTTTTACCCTAAGGTGGAGGGTATTAAAAGTTTGGACCGGCCGAACTTAATGTTTTTTACTTGTTTTTTAATATATTTAAAAATTTTCGTTGTTGCAAAATGGTCAGGCTTAATCCCATAATTGTTGATTTTACAACAACAACGTTTGTTTATTAGTGGAGTACGATTGTAATTACCAGGCGGAAAGGCAGGGAATACCAAGGCTTCGGAAAGAGCCACCAATCCTCATAAATTTCCTTTTGTTTGTCTGGGAAATTCTCCCCAGAAGTTATTTTAAAAATAACTTCTATAACAAATATTTCTTTCACTCAAGTGACGAGATCGTAAGTTCAATAGAAGAGGAACCAATGAATTATATAAAACAAAAATTTTTAGTATAAGTTTAGATTTGTTCGAATTGGTCACCTTTGGCACGAATTATGGCCTTCAAACGGCCAATGAAACCGTCACACATTGCCCGAATGTTGCTCTACGTCACACATTGCCCGAATGTTGCTTCGCATTCCCGGCGAAGCGCTTGCTTGAGGTGATCGACACTTTGGTATTTTTTAGTGCCAACCTTGCTTTTCAAAATACTCCAGACACATTTGCCCAACGGATTGGTAACTGGGGATTTTGGTAACCTTTGTGCGCTGGAAATGAAGCGAGGAACCTCATTTTGTAACCATTCTTGGGTGTCGCATGCAAAGTCTGCGGCCAAAATGTTTGCATGCCCAAGGCTTTAATTCACCCTTCGGAATATTTCCGTGATAATATTCGACATTTATTGTGATGGCGGCCCAATTTGGAATTTCAATGGCGAATGGAATATTGCGATATGTTCAGCCATGATTCGGCCACTGCGACGAGGGTTTCGATAAAGTCGCTTCTTTACTTTTCAAACCATTTCTGCTGATGTTGCTTTTTTTCTGTCCACTTCATTGACATCGGAATGCGCTACCAGTATCACGGTAACGAGCGATGGTACGAGACAAAAGATTTATTCACTTGCTGGATTACTCTAACGACAGCCACCTGTGGTTTTCAAGCCAAATATAAATAAATAACACTATCACGCTTGCATTCCATCAGGAATAACTTTTTTCTGGAAAATTCTCAGCAAAATGCTTTTGTACGCTTGTAAACAATATAATGAGCTGTAACTGGAATAATTTTAACAACTGTCGGACGAGTGGCTTAGAAATGACAGCAGTCTGAAGTTAGTTGCAGTTTTTTCATCTCACCCTGTAGGCGGACGGTCACCCTTACCTAGATCGACTCAGCACGGCGAAATAGGAATATCCATATGTAACATCCTATGTGCAGTACCAATATTTCGAGGTGTTACATAATTTTTGTCCACTCAAACCTATAAAAGCCCCAATACGTAGTGATGAAGGGTATATAAAAAACCAAATTACCAAATGACAATTTTACAGTAATCTTTTTTAAAAAAATGTTTATTTTTAACAAATTTAAAACTAAGTCAACAATTGCATCAATTTTTACGTTCAGTCATCCCAAATGGAGTTCTCGAAAATGGCATCTAATGGTGGTGGTGGGCTGGCACAGAGTAGGTGGTGTAAGCTGGGACTGCAGTCTTTACCACAGCTGGTGCTGAGTAGGTGGTGTAGGCGGGAGCAACGGTTTTGACAACAGCAGCTGGAGCAGCATAATGAGCGACTGGAGCAACAGTCTTAACGACGGCAGCGGGGGCAGCATAGTGGGCAACTGGAGCAACGGTCTTAACCACAGCTGGGGCAGCAACAACAGCCTTGGTCAAAGGTTCGCGGTGGACGACAGCATTGAAGCCATTGACATCATCGGCAGTGTATTGAACGGTACGTTTGAAACCATCGGCATCGATCAACGAATATTCACCACGTACAACATCTCCATCACGTTCCTCAACCTGGCTCTTCGAATCTCCAGAAACGGCATCTTGTACTCCATAACCGTATTTGTATTGAGGATGAGGATCGAATTCGTCATCAGCCTTGGCCAACACATGTTGGGCTGCAACATGTACAGGAGCCACATTCTTGATAACGGCAGCTGGGGCAGCATGGTATACCTGGGCAGCTGGAACAATACCGGCACTGGCAGCGGCGAGCAAAGCAAAGAAAGCTACAAACTGCAAAACAAAACCAAAATTAAAAATCATTAAAATTTGTTATTCCAGCAGATCCAGAGTAGACGCATGTCCCTTAACACACCTTGAATGCCATTTCGATTAAATACCAAAAAGGTGAGACTGAATTCAGACTTTGAGCTGTGTTAACGCTTAAAAGTGTAACTGTTGTATGTTGTCAAAAATTGATTTGGTCGATGTTTTTATAGTCGAATTTTTTGTTACACATTTTTAATGTTTTGTTGACCATAAAAAGGTTACTTCCAGTGATCCGAACAGGTTTCTGCGACATAAACCAATAACAACAAGTGTACCAAAACTATCTGACTGTATGTCTATCTATCTATCTTTCTGTACCGTTTGTTGATTCATTTGCCTCGCTCGGTACTCTCAATGCAATTGTTATATTTTCAATGAAAACAGACATACCCACAAACATACACTGAGTTTCTTCTTGTGGTTTATAATTAATGGGTTAAAGAGGGTAGAGGCCCTTCCGGGCTAATTACAGACACATACATACATACATAATTATTTAAAATCTTTAACAACTAACAACGATTTTTGTGTGATGAAATGGTCCCCAAAATAGATGAATTACCTTATAATGGAATTTCAAACTTTTTTCGACCTTGAGTAATTTTACAAGAAGAGATGAAATTATCACATGTCGTTGTTCTTGACCACAGTCAATTAATTTTTTTTTTTTTTTTCTAAAAATATTAAAAATATCAAATTGGTTAGCAATTATTGCTTAATTTATAGAATAAAAATAAAACAAGTAAGCAAAGGCTATAGTCGTGCGGGGCCGACTATGTGATACCCTACAACACTACAATATGTTAGAAGCCCTCTTATGTCCAAATTCATTTTAGCACTGCCCAGATATTACTAGCATTTTGACCAGGGACATTTAACCAATATTTACGAACTTCATCGTGCTGTTAGTTGTAGTGGTCCATTTTACAGCTAAATATAATCCAATGGCCATACATAATGCCAGACTTCTTCCCTGTCCCTAACTTTCTTCTCAGGCGTGTCGATTGGCTTCAATTGTGTGATCAGGAAATTTTCCCTGTTTTTGAATATTGTGCGATCATCTCCAAAAGCAAGAGGTCCCTCTGTATTTCTAAGTTTAGACTCATCTATATGATTTGCTTGTCTAGGATATTTGGCTATATTCGTCAACGAAATCAGCAAAAGCAGTCAGACAAAAGTAGTGGTTCATTCTTCCCGCTGTCCTAAACTCTAACTTCATGCGAGATTTCGTGTCCATTCGTTTCTATTTGTGACCTTTATAACGGCTGCAAAATCAGGAACATTTTAGTTGTTGGTCCATTTCAACCCCTAAATATATTGCGGACATCTTTGAAAACAATAGGCCCAGCCCTTCTGGGCCTATCCCTTCCCTTTTCGTGAGGATCGGACGATAATTGCAATCTGTATATAATATCCCAAACCTGTGTTGTAAGGTGGAAAAATATTACAAAATATATACCTTAATATTATAAGTCAAAATGAAAAAATCGCATCCGATAAAAATATGAAAAAATAAAAAAATTTCACAAAATCTATATTAACATCATTTTTGACTTATTTTTATGCGATTTTTTTAGATTTTATACTTTTATGTCAAGAGCGCGTTCTGAATAGGCAAAATTTGTCCAAATCGGTCCAGCCATTCTTGAGATATAAACATTCCATCTAACATTCCTTTCCTTGGTATATACACATTGTATACATTTCGCTATACATATCCGATATATTTACTATCGGTATCTACGTAACGGTCAGAATTGGCCTGTTCGTCTATTTATGATTTCGCCGGGACTAAAAATATTCGCGGTTTCATAGAAAATTTGACTTTTATTTAACACAAATGTATAGTCTTTTTCACCCACTAAATATTATCCGATGATCATCAAAATTGGAAGGCTTCTGCCCAGCCCGAAGCTCTAGCCCCATGCTAATTTCCGCGTCGATTGGTCCATAATTGCGACCTGTAGAGCAACTGCAAAATCAAGAAATTTTTCAGTTTTTGGTCCATTTCAACCCCTAAATATTATGCGATCATCTCCAAAAGAAATAGGGTTCTATTCTGACCTTAACCCCACCTCCATTCTAAATTTCGTAAAGATCGGGCCATAATTGCGACCTGTAGAGTGATTACAAATTAACATGGACAGACGGACAGACGGACGGACGGACGGACATACATAGCTAGATCGACTCAGCTCGGCGAGATAGGAAGATCCATATATACTTTCCTATGTGGGAAGCCAATATTTCGAGGTGTTACATAATTTTTGGCCCAATCAAACTTATAATACCCCCAACACATAGTGTTGTAGGGTATAAACACAGATAAGTAGTTCAGTATGGCTGTTTAACCTTATTAATTGAACAACTAATGTATTCGTTAACCCAAAAATTTTAATAAATAAATAAAAATATATTTTGATTTGATTATGCAAAATGTTTATTTACACTTTATTGGAATAGTACCGATGGAGTGGGTCAATATGTATGTATGATTATTATTATTATCATATATCGGCTATTTTTGGAAAATTTTGAACTTTTGTGGAGGAGGTAGGAGAAAGAATGGTTGTATTAAAACAGACAATACTGTCACTGACAAAAATATTGATATGTGCAACAATTATTTATCTCCAGTTTTGTGGGATTTATTGGTAATCAATTTTTTATATTTTGTGGAAGAGGTACCAGTGGAACGACATATCTATGGCTGATAGAAATATTATTATTTCACCCTATATATTATTATACCCGAAAGTATAGGCCGATGACAAAGAAATAATGTCGATTAATTGTGTAAAAGTTAGAAGAAAGATCGAATGATTATTTTAAATATTATCACACCTGACGAATTTAAATTTCGACCCGTTGTGGGGGAGGTACCAGAAGAAGTTGTCCGATATACCGTCTTCACACGAAAGCTTGTATTGATAACAAGTTAAAAAGCAGTATTGAATAGCCTCCACCATTTGGAACTAATTTGGAAATTTTCAAAAAATAAAATTCGTTTAAAATTCTTTTAAAATCTTAAAAATACCGAATATAGCCGTTATATTGGGGTCTATACGACGTGGACCTACATAGGCATTGTTTGTTATAAGCCATTACCATATTATAAACGGGTATAATGCAGCATCTTCAAAATACCATATATATACCGGTATATCGGAGCTATACGAAGACATGGACCTGCATAGAAACTTTTCTGTCACAGGCTGTAGCATCCATTACGAACCTCAAATACGACATCTCAAACAATTTCGGTGGGTATTGTACCTAAAATCGTCAAAATACCGAATATAGGGAGGTACTAATATATGTGGCCTATACGAAGACCTGAACCCGCACAGACAATTTTCTGTCACAGACTGTAGTTCCCATAACGAACTTCAAATACCAATTTTGAAACAATTCCGGTGAATAACGTAGCTAAAATCATCAAAATACCGAATATAGGGAGGAACCGTTATATGGGGGCTATACGAAGACGTGGACCTGCACAGACAATTTTCCGTCTAAGGGTGTAGTATCCATTAGAAACTTCAAATACGACATCTCAAACAATTTCGGTGAGTATTGAGTATGGTCAAAATACCGAATATAAGGAGGTACTGATATATGGGGTCTATACGAAGACCTGGACCTGCATAAAACATTTTGTGGCACAGACTGTAGTTCCCATTACGAACTCTAAATACATAATTTGAAACAACTCCGGTAAATAATGAGGCTAAAATCATCAAAATACCGAATATTGGGAGGTGCCGTTATAGGGGGGCTATACGAAGACGTGGACCTGCACAGACAATTTTCTGCCCTAGGCTGTAGCATCTTTTTCGAACTTAAAATACCAACTTTGAAACAATTCCGGTGAACAATTTCTTCCAATTTTATAAGAGTTATGATTATTGAAAAATTTGGCCTAATTTTTGGGAAGGTACTTGATGAAGTGAACCGATATTGTCCAATTTCGCACCCGACCTAGCGCTAATAAAAATATTAGGATTTGAAAAAATTTAACAAAATTGGATAATATTTTCGTTTTTAATGAAGCAAATTATTTTTTATGAAACTTTTGACCTTTAGTGTTTGGGTTCCAGAAGGAGTGGTCCGATATTGCCCATCTCTGAATAGTCCAAATAGACCTAGAGTCTACAATCGTGATATATACCCTCGGATATGTTATACACCCTCTGTAGCCATATGGCTGAGGGTATAATAACTGACTGACCGACCGAGAAAAAACGCCCAGACAAAAAGGCTGAACGTAGGATCTCAAAATTTTGTCTTGTAGTATAGGCGTGTGATAAGGCTGGGTTTTTGGAAATTCGTAAAAAAATGTATGCAACATACATATATGGGAGCTATAACGGGTGAGATGAAAAAACTGCAACCAAATTCAGACTGCTGTCATTTCTAAGCCACTCGTCCGACAGCTGTCAAAATTATTCCAGTGACAGCTCATTATATTGTTTACAAGCGTACAAAAGCACTTTGGTGGGAAACAAGTTATTCGTGATGGAATTCAAGCGCGATAGGGTGATTTCTTTAAATTTGACTGGAAACCTCTAACCTATTGTTAGAGCACTCCAGCATTTAAATGTGAATAAATCGTTACCGTGATACTGGTAGAGTAGTCCGACGTGAAGGAAGTGGACGGAAGAAAACAGCAACATCAGCAGAAATGGTTCGAAAAGTAAAGAAGCGCAAATGACTCGTGAGCTGAACATATCGCAATATTCCATTCGGCAAATATTAGAATGGGTACAACCATTGAAATTCCAAAAAGTGCACAACAGAAGGAAAATTGACTCAAAAGAGCTAAAGAGTTGATTCGCTTGGCCGAAAGTGATGAAGTACCGAATTTGGTTTTCTCCTATGAGAAAACATTTGTAAACAAACAACATGATCGGGTTTACTTGCCAAAGATGTCAGCTGAAAATTTGCACCTTCGGTTGGCCACCAGAACTCAAGCGCCGGCCATGGTGATGGTGTGGGCCGCCATAACAGCAGGTGGTCGCTCTCTGCTCGTACTAATCGACCGTGGCATCAGAATAAATGCCGCATATTATCGCGAAAATATTCTGGAGGGTGTATTAAAGCGCTGGGCACGCAAACATTT